CACTTTTTGTTTTTATAGGTTCATAATTATAATCTCGTTCGTTTTACTTAAATTTAATAATTATTTATAAAATAATTTAAATACAATACAATAAGGCAATTACGCACTTATGGGACACCCTGTAAAAATACTAAAATATTTAACAATATCTGTTAAAAGTGCTAACTTAATCAGAAAGAAAAAAGGCAACTTTCTGAATATCTAAAAATATCCAGGGTGTTCCATATGAAATAACAAATTTTATCTGAAAAACGTCATACAAAATTCCAGTGTAATCGAAAGTTGCAATTTAAAAATGAAATAGGTATGTCAAAAAAAAAATATTCGGTGAAAACCTGAATTGATATCTTAAATACTTTTTAAGTTATAAGCCTTTAAAATGGTTTGAAATATACTTGATCACCCAGTATCATAAATTATTATAAAAAAATAACAGAAAATTAAGCTTAAAATATTTGCTAGAACCATTAAAATTTGCATTAGATGGATATAATTTTAGAAAGTGAAAATGATATTTCGTGACAGTGATAAAGTTTTATCTTCTATCCCTGACCTTCAAGTTTATTACTATATTAGATTTTTTACTATAAATTGACCAATCCGTGGGCAACTTACGTAATACTTGAGATATTTGGACTCTCAGAATTAATCATTTGTAATAAATAACGAATGAAAAATGTAAAAAAGTATCCAGTTCGATAATATTATAAATAATATACTTCGTAAACAAAATTCAAATCAATAATTTATTATGTGTGTTTATTTAAGTGATCAGTGGTATTGATTCTCTGCATTTTTTTTTGATTGGACATTGGGTATCGGCGTCTGCAATACAACCTGTATCGCCTGTATCTCAGAAATTAGTATGCGTCGTAGAATTTTAAGAAAAAAACTTCATGATAAAAGTGGTCAAGATAAATCGCTGAACTGATTTTTAATTTTGTAATCTCGCCACTAGATGGTGTATTGACCAATGATAAATATAAAAACGGGTGGGTAGTTAAAATTGATTTAAGTTTAAATAATTACAATGATAGTAATAAAAAATGTCATTTATAATTGTTATTTATAAAAACCAGTTATGAAATGTCTATTTTTATGCAACGAGTTACATAAAACGGCATTTCGTGAATAAAATAATTAAAAATTGATATACAGGGTGTTTCTATATCAATATATTATTTATATGCTTCTTTTGACCCAGAGGGCTCCGAGAAATATCTAGCACTAAAGCCCCCTCTGTGTCAAAAGTTACGTTACTATCTTTACCCCTTAAGCTTGGCCATGTAAAAATAATATTTGGGCCCTTTACCTTTTTTGATTCAGATACGAGCTCCAATCTGAAATTCGTTGAAGCTCGTGTAAAAATCATCGTATATGTTTTTCGCATAAGATCCACATTTATTTCATCTTAAAACAATTATTTTCAAGTATCTATCACTTTCATTTGCAATGAATAAACATTTAAAATCAATCATATATAAATAAATATGTTATAATAAATAAAATGTCAAAGATTGTGCTGTAGACTGTCCTGATAACAAAAATAATTTTACGGTTTTATTGTCAAAGTCTCGCCATCTCTGCAACCAAAAAAAAATAACGTTTCTGAATTAAAGATGCCTACTTAGTATAGAATTCTTCTAAATATGTAGTCAGTCCATAACTTTTCAACAGATGGCGCAGGCTGCTCAATATATAAAATAATATTTTATTTTATTCCAAAACATGATAATTATTATTTTGAATGTATGTAGTAAAAAGATAATAGATTCAATTGGTGTTGTTTTTAATTCAGCATAGACGTACATATTGTTTTTTAACAGAGGAAATTAGAGGAAAAAAAAATATATAAATATTTTTTTAATGAATATTTATAATATTGCCACCAAGCATATTGTGAGATTATATGGGGTGTTACCAGGGCTGACGAGAAGGGGGGGAGTAGCCGGGACAAATTCACGGGGCCCGGGCACAAGTGGAAGCCCGGCAACGGCACAAGGGGAGCCCGGTAGCTCTATATGAGGATGTTTTATTTTTTGAGAGGAGCGCTGGTTTGTGTAAAATACAAGATTAGGTCTTTTTCTTAAAGATTTCACTAAAAAGGATCTAAGTTTCTTCTTGATGACCTTTTTTTAAAGGCCTTAACTTTTTATATCCCAAAATAACAAACTTTTTGAAAACTAAACAACTTATTAATTAGCGATATAAACACTACAAATCGTTGAGAATACATAATTAATATAATAATAAAATGATGCATATGCAACTAACAATACAAGAAAGTAGTAATATTGGTTGCCTTCATGTCAGTAATGTCTTACCAAAACAATTTTATAAATATTCTAGTCAAAATTAGCAAACATATTGTACGACGTAACACAAGACATAAATAGCTATTTCAAAACTAGTTTTATAATGTTCAACATTATGCAACTGGTTGCGTGAAGTAGATCATTTTGACACCTGTTGCGATTACAAAAAAATATCAAAATTAGAAAAAGTATATTAAGGGTATGGTCCGATATTTCGACCTAACTGTAACTAACCAGGATTTTTGGACAGTGGTTCCTAAAAAGAACTATTTTGTTGGTTACTTTTGGACTACGGTTGAGAGTTGCGTCACTTATGTGACAGATTGACATTCAACTTAGGGTATGGTCCCTTATTAACCGAAATATCGTTTACTCGATCCAAAATTAAATTAATCGCTCTGCTTAACATTCCTGAAAAATCGGTTAAATTAGGGACGCGGTTACCTGAAAATGGTGACTCAAACGTCAAATCACAAAAAATCTACAAAATTAATTTTTTTTGGAAATACAGACAAATATCTTGTGAATTGCTGTTATTTATCGATTAATCATTTAGTGTAACTAAAAAATATACTGACAATTAGTTTGACACTTTTTTAAAATTTTCAAAAATAACAATCACCAAAATATGAAATGTAATTGGTGGATTTTATATTTTTACAGTGGTAATCTTACTAGGTAGAATGGATATGAATTATATTCGTTCAGTTGAACACAATGGCCAACTTTTTCGTTTTGTAGTCTTTACATAGAATAACTAATGGGTGTAGAAAATAGTAGTTTGTGCCACAAGAGTAGAAATGGACAATCCACTCGAGTTGTACGTATATTTTTCCTACGACTCGCTAACGAAATTTTAAAAATTATTTTAGGTCATTAAAACAAAATTACTAATTTTAAAATAATTTATAACTTTTACTAATTTATAAAATAAACTAAACATAAAAAGACTGAATTTAATTAATTCCCAGCCCAGATTTGAACCCGGGCTTCTCGCATGGAAGCCAAACACACCGTTCTAACCTCCATCATCGACACATCATTTTAGTTTTAATACACGTAATTAAATTAGTTTAATATAGTTTGATTAAAATTTATTAGTTATTTGTAAATGTAGACGAAATAAAAATATTTATCGATTCTACACAAGAATAACTCATTTTTACCTATATTTAATCTCAATAACTAAAAATATACTGACAATTAGTTTAACAGAATTGTCACTTATATAAAATTTAAAAAATAATAGGTAGTATAGCCGAGTGACCAAAATATGAACTGTGGATTGGTGGATTTCATTTTTTTGCAGTGTTCTTACTAGGTAGAATGTATATAAAATATATTCGTTCAGTTGAACGCAATAGCATACTTTTTCGTTTTGTAATATGTGCGTAAATAAACTAATATCCACGTGGGTGTAGAAAAAACAATGTTTAGCTGAGATATCTGGTTTCTCATTGTTACTTAATTTTTATTATTATCAATTTATACTCAAGCTAGTTATAACTTCTTGTCTTATTTTGTTTCACATTTTTTTTTAGTTATTCCCAGGGCCGACGAGAGGGGGGTGGGCTAACGGGAGAAATCCCCGGGGCCTGGCAGCTTTAGGTGAGGACGTTTTATTTTTTTATTTTCGCCAAAAAAGGGAAGACATAGTTTATGAAAAATACAAGATGAGGATTTTTTTTAGACTTCACTAAAGTTTTTGCTTGAGGATCTTTTTTTATTTTTATGTTTTTAGAAATGTGATATCGAAAAGGCTTAATTATTTTTATAAAATTATCCCGGAGCCCCATCTCTCGACGGCCCTGGTTATTCCCTGCGCGTTTATCGTTAGCAGCTACTTAACTATTCTGTTTAATGTATTTGGAGACGTCTGAGTTTTGTAGTACCATTGTACTATATTTTTTAGGTATGTAACACTAATAACTTTCATACATACTAGACTAACACCATTGTTTTCTCTTTGTAGACCTGATGATGGCCTAAGGACCAAACCTGTTGCCATATTTTTTTAATAAAAATTGATTTATGTGGTAGGTATTGATTTTGATTAATTTTGGTATTATATTCTTGATTATATTGATATATTGATTATAATTTTATCCTAAATAATAAGGGATAACTATGATAAATAAATATTTATATAATTTTGTGCCATATACGATCATACAAATTATAAATTTTAAAAAATTTATTGTGACTAAGAGGATACAAAGAGAAATACATTTTATTTTTTAATATGGAATATAAGGAGACTATACTTTTGAAACGTATAGGTATTAAAAATTAAAAATCAAACAATTTTATCTATAAAATTCCAGTTAAAGACTTGATTCCATTTAGTAATAAATTAGGTGTACCAGTCTATTATTATTTTATTTCGTACGCCCATGCGATTTCGAAGGCAAACAGTTTTTATGACTTTTATTCAAGTTTAAAAGATATTATCTAGGTCTCATTGTGTTTAGGTGCAAAAAGGCGTAAAATGTGAAGAATATTCGATCATATGCAACGCAGCATCCTTACCTGAACCACTTGTTCGGGATGAGATGAGATTTGAGATGAAAAGATGTAAATCACCTGTGGATGCTAGAAATACTCATGCGCAAATCGTCCCTCTCAAAGTTCGTTGTCCATGCCTCTGCCTTTTACCACCAACCAAGTTGTTTGGTTTGTAACCGCCGAGCAAAGTGAGGATAGTTGTGAGACACTTGACACTTTCGACACACGTTAAACCCACTAAAATGTAAAATTCTATCGTTTTTTCAATAAAACACGTTTTTGTCATTGACAAATATCGGCTACTACCATGTAACGCGACGTGGAAGTGAGAATTTTTTCGCAAAAACTTTTGTGTTTTCTTTTACATTTTTTTTAAGTTTCTTTGACCGTGCTTCTTTGGAATTTGGTAGGCGTTTTTAGTTACTTTTACATTAACACTAGCTTTAGTTAGCTTTTAGCGCATCTGTTATTTGTCCGGCAGAATTTTTCAAAATTACTAACCACATGTTTTCTTATTTTTCATTCATTTAAAACGACTATTTTTAGCGATGACTGAGACATAACATTTATTTATTTACTAGTGATTTTATTACCTGTTTGCCGTTTAAAATGCTAACCTTTATTTATATTGTCCATAATATAATTTGTCGCAAATGCGACCAACGGTCACAGCTATTATTATTACAGAGCCGAGCCACAATATTTCTTATTTTTATTTATCATAATCAAGTGAAACTATTACATGCAAATTTTTTTATTGTATCGTTTTTAAACACCTGTTGATTGCGTTAATGTCTATTTTCGTGCCAAACTGCAAAGCAAGGACATTTCTTTATAATACGACAACATGTGGGTATACTTAAAATATCCTTTTTTTTAATAATTAGAAACAATTTTAGTGTTCTTTTAAGAATAATTTGTTTTCAAAAACTAACAAATATTAGATACAAAACGTTGTTCCAATAATTTGTACAGGTCTTCAAAATCTTCGTCCACCAAGTATCTATTCAGTTTTATTAAAACTTATCCTAAGGTCTTTTTTACATTTATTTCACTGACAATGACAAATTGCTTAAGAACCTAACACACAAAATTAGATATTTGATGTAGGTACCTATAGATATGGGTAGATAAATTATCAGTCATTATTTTATTACAAAAACTTAATTACCAATACATCATTCCTTAAGAGGCAACCTACTCAAAACAATTTCCTTTAAAATCAAATTCCTCAGGATGACGTCAAGTTGTAAACAATTAATTTACATTTATTAGTTAGTTACATTTATTAGTTTCTGAATAGAACCAAATAATGTCTCATAGGTTTCATTTGGTATACATAGATAGATTTACATTGCCTTATTTTGAAATCTAATAGAGCTTGATTTTAAACAAAAAATTAATTTTCCTATAGGTACGTGAATTTATTAGTGAGCCAGTTTTGTTATTCATGACATGTCCTTTTATTCATTTAGTCTTCTATTTATTTTCAGAAACAAACAGGCATTATCCTAATTACCTTGTTTCTATATTATTAACAAAAAAAGAAAACAATAAAAATACACAATATATAATTAATACACTTAATTTTGTTTATATTAAACACACATCGCTACTAAAATGTTTTTATCAAAGTTTAAAGAAAAAGAAAAATGCTAAAATAACTGGTACCGTGTAGTTTAAGTTTTACAAAGATTGCCTCTAATGGTGAGTTAATTGATATTGGAGAAGATATATATTTTTTATTTATACCAATGAGGACACCTCCTCTGCGTTGTTTACCTGTTAAAATGTTATCCCTATCTTTATGCTATATTTTTGCTAAATTCCGAAGCCTAATTTGTAAAAAAAGTATAAGATTCACTTCTATTGATCTATTCCTGAAAGGATAAAGAACATTAAATACAACTATTTTCCATTTTTGAAAAAAAAAAAAAAATCACAACTTGATAATAGGCAAGAACAAATTAATATCCCCAAATTTTTATAACAATCTTATCGGTTTACAGGAAATGTCTGGCTCTACTATGCTTAGTTGTATACATTGGTTTTGTGCTGTGACAATATTACTAGTTTAGGAATAATATATTTCAGATAGTATACAGGGTGTTTTGCATAATTACTGACACAAGATGTACCCCTAAGAAATTACGGAGGCCTCAAGTGGATTCATAAATTAAAAAAAAAAAATATCTCCATAATTATAAATAATATTCGCCTGTTAGTCGATGACTTATTGAATAAAAATTTACATCGGAATATTCATGATAGTTATGAAGATTTGTAAGTCCTCTGAGGGTGAAACAAGCCTCATCCATCTAAGTTAAACGGTTGAATAGATATTACATTTTTTCCAAATGTATGGCCCCGCTTTGGGCCTCTGTAACTCCTAAGGGTACAACTTGGTGCAGAGGTACGTTGCGTTATACTCGTATCATATTTTGGGGTGGATCTGTTCTGTATCAGTACTTGTGCAAAACACTCTGTATAACCATTTAAATCGGGAATAAATGAATAGAAGGCAGTTGTGGATATAATAATAATAATTCAAAAATCGTTTTATCGCTAATTTAAATGAATTTACAAGATTAAAGGTACAGTCTGTTCGCTTTACTTACGCGGGTTACGAATTAACAAAATTATGCAAATTAGTCATTGACAACCAGTTCCGATAAGCCTCTTTCCAAGAAATTAGGTAAAATTGCCCTAATGGTCAGATTTAAATTAAAATAACATTAGGGTAGGTACTAAATTTGTTACAAATATTGCAGTTGAATTGATTCTTTGCAAGTGTTGACATTGTATGTATATTGTAAATTTAGTGGAAATTTTATAAATATCAAGGGGAGTGAGACTAAGAATGACTTCCATGGTTCTGGTCGGTGTTGTATTCATTGCCCCTGTTATATTTAAGCAAGCTGTTCTTTGAATTTGTTCTAGTTTACGGATAGCTGTTAATTTTTTGGGTTTTCGGTACCCAGACTACTGCAAAGTATTTAAAATAAATAAAAAATACATATTTTTTAAATTTTTTTGGGAATTGAACTCTGGTCGCGGAATCCAGAGTGTAACTCTTAAATTTTCTAACAAAACAAAAACAATAGGTAGAAAAATATAGCAAATGTCAATTAATATGTATACTACATCATACTCTCGAATGAGACAGACTTGTGTTGAATGACTTTCCCAGATATGATTAAAATTTTTGATGTCATCATACATCCAATAATATAAAAATTATTTTATTGAGTGTACATTTAATTTCTAGTCGTAATTGAGTAATTAACCTCCTTATAAATTATAACAAATACGGTAAACAAAACTTATATCTCATAGTTTGTATGTAGGATGAAACTGATTAAAATAATAATTGCTGTAATATAAATAGCTCTTTTGATTTATATAAAATCGTTTTTAGAATAATCATAAGCCGAAAATTATGGACATGATATTTTTAACATAAAATTAAAGAAAATAAATAACAATAAAAATGTTGGAGATATAATCTATATTATGAAAAAAGTAAAAACTAAATTAATTGGAGTAGGGAATGGACTTAGCTACTTAGACCAAAATGATATTAGGAAACCATAAAAAAATGCATTCTTTTTAGGAATCGATAAAAATTTCGGTCGTAGGGTCCGATTACAATTAGAAGAACACAGCTACGTCATCAGTTGGAAAATAAATTAATTGCTTATCGCCGCTTACTGGGGGTTTAGTGGAATATTAATATTATAGGAAATATTCTTCTATACCTAACAACTTACTTATTTTTTATTTATTGATAGTTATAGATAATATGTATTCGAAATTCAAAGTAATGGTTATGACGTAGCTGTGTTCTTCTAATTGTAATCGGACCCTAGTAATTAAATTATCCGCGGTTGCACAATTAAAGCCAGGTGTGTGGAGCGAGATGACGTCATTGGAAAATTTAACATTGAGCAAACCATATGAGTATCACAAGGTTAGTGACAGGGGACGTGCTAGACATGAAAATAGATCATATAACCAAGCGGTATTCCTTCAACCCAATGAGACCAGTAAATGTTTTGCTCGTCAATAACTGACTGGGCGACTGTAATGTAAGATGTAAGCAGATGGCGTTAGTAACCTTTTGGCATTTTTCGTTATTTTAAAATTCTACTTATATCTTGTTTTAAATAAATTCTGATTTAAGGTGGCACTGAAAATGATCCACATTAAGTCAGGGCTGTCTTAAGATATTCAGCGCCCGTGGCCTAATGAAAATATTGCGCCCCTTTTCAGTAGAAAATACACCGGCAAAGTTGTACAAGTGTCAGAACTAGAAAAAGCCAATTTATTACCATTACACTGAACAAAAAAAAAATTTTATCAAAATTATCCTATATAAACAAAAACTTTATAGTAAACAAAAAACAAAAGTAACATATACTCGTATGTGGATTTTCTATTTAATTTAGAACAGGTTATTTGGTTATTTTTGTCATGAAAAGATTTTGAAGAAAGACATTATTTTCTCTTCAACAGAAGACATCCTATTTTCCATATAAGAAATGTCAGACGACACTTTGTGTTCCCAAGCAAAGATATTAGAAAAAAAATATTTTTTTATAGAAAACTTTTCAGAAAACTCCTTTTCTTCTAAGGAAGAAAAATGAAAGGTGTAATAAATAAACCCTACGCAGCTTTGGTGTGGTGGCCAAAGACACAGCAAAGCAATAACGAGGCTAAGCAAGGTACAAAGACTTGCCTGCCTCGGAATAACGGGGACAATGAAAACAACCCCCACTGCTGCAATGGAAGCACTAATAGGACTCCCACCTCTTCACTATGTGATACAAGGGGAGGCAAGATTAGGTGCTTACAGATTAGGGAATACACTGGGAAATCTTGACATTAGGCCAGGTCAAGGTTAGTGACAGGAGACGTGCTAGACATGAGATCAGACCACATGACCAAGAGGTACTCTCCATTTCAGGTTTAAATACAGGAAAGAGCGGAGATCACCATAAGGGAGCCCAATGCCCAACGACAGGAACAAACCTGGTATACAGACGGGTCTAAGACTGCGGAAGGCACTGGGGCGGAAGTATTTTTCAAAAACCCTGATACTAACCATAGCTATGCTATAGGAATACATTCCTCGGTATTTCATGCCGAGGTATACGCAATTTTGCAATGTGCAAAAACGAACAATGAAAGAGCTGTCGAAAATAAGCATATTCCAATAATGTCAGACAGCCAAGCGGCACTTAAGGCCATATCGAGTCAGAAAGTTACGTCGAGGCTGGTATGGGAATGCATCGAAGAACTAAGAACACTGGCAGACCGAAATAGAGTAAACCTATTTTGGGTGCCAGGTCACCAAGGGATCGAAGGCAACGATAAGGCTGACGAACTTGCAAAAAGAGGGTCAGA